TTATTTTTATTTATTTATTTATTTTCTTTAAATAAATTTGTCTCAAGCTAGATGCATTTTCATATTACTTACGGTAGATTTTTCTCCTATCTAAATTTATTTAGTTATAAATCGTGCTTTTATCTGTGTGCCTGTCCTATCTTCAGCTTTTGTGCGTGCTCGTGTCACATCAGCTGCTTCTTTATTAGAGATTCGTCCTACTCTAGGCTCTCGATGGGCAAGATTTATGCAGTTGGCACGAAGGAAGCGCCGCTGTCCCTGTTGCTGCCGCCTCCGTTATGCGCAGCAAGGTAATCTAATTTATTAAAAGTGCAGCCTCTGGAAGTCGAAGGGGATGGAGGGGCCGCGAATGCTGTTGACTGTGGAGCACAGCTCGTTTTGGTTTTGATTTACGCTGAAATAAATTAAAATATCATAAAAAGGAAATTAAAATTCACTCACACAACAAAAGCGACGCGCAGCTTCGAACTCCACTTGGAGAGGTCTCTTGCCCCGTCTCCAACTTTAGCTCCGATCTTCAACTCAGTTAGCGTCTCGCCGCGGGCTTTTAACTAATTTTTAAACAAGTAAAAATACAAATAAATATTTTAATGTGTGATTTACGACAATGAGACGCACAGGGGGTCGCTCACAGCTCGGTCGACTTGGCTTGGTTCGGTTCGGCTCGGCTCGGCTTGACTTGGATCTGGTCTGCTCTGCGCTTTTGGGGCCCGCGATCTGCGTCTTCAGCTGCATTTAAATTGGATTTGTGCGCTTCTGGCGCAGCTGGCCACGCCCACAGCCCACAATGAAATACAATTTAAGCGCCTTTAATGAACTGCGGGTAGCTTGAACAAGAAAAAAACAAAACAAATAACACACACAAAGAAAAAACAACACAATCACATCGTTTGCACACCGAGAAAATAATCAGAATTGAAAAGATTTCGAATTGAAATTTGAAATTATTTGAGCTTCGCATTTATTGGCGCATAAAAAGTTTTAATTTAACGAGCGTTGCGTATTTTTATTAATTGACCATAATTAATTGAGGATTTATATGGAACGTTTTAAGCAGCAGAAACTCAAAAATCCAAAAATCATAAAATTCACATCAAAGAAGCTCTATCAAAAAGCAAATAAATTAAAGCGCAGCAGAAACTAGTTAGGTTACGAAAGGCGCGCTTGACTTGAATATACTCCCGACTGTATAAATTAGTGTTTTTAAATTCATATTTCTCATTTCGATGAACCCTAGAACTTATAATAAATGTTACATTTTATAGTATTATAGTAACCATACGTAATTGCATTCGATTTAAACAAAGTTGTATCGAGGCTGAAACCAGTTCTAATTGGTATATTTTATAGACTCAGCAGCAGTATCGGGGTACGTCAACGTGCCTGCAGGGTATACGCTTAAATAACATTAAATGCAATTGCATGCAATTAATTAAAAACCCATTGACATTCATAAAAAGTAAATTGTGGCAACAGGAGCGCCAAAAACATGGCCAAGGGGCAGCTGCGGCAGTTGCCAACAACAGCAGCAACGTTAAACAACTCAGGAAGTCGTCGCCTCATATAATAATGCACGTGTATTAACCGCTGCAGCAACAATTTACGAACACCTCGCTCTCTCCCTCTCCCTCTCTATCCCCCTATCTCTCTCTCTCTCTCTCTCTCTGTCGGTTGGTGGACTACGAGTACAAGTATTTATTAACAGCCTGAACGATCGATGCCAAAACACCTGCCAAGCAGCCGATAGTGATGCATCTTCAAAAGATGCTGCAGTCGTCGGCCCCTTGCCTGGCGGCTAACGAGCGCGAAAATAATGCGCGAAATGTGGAGCAGAAGCTTTGGCCGGTACTTGAGTCCAGCTACAGCGAGAGCGACAGCTACAGCTACAGCTTCAGCTTCAGCTTCATCTGGAGCCTCATGGGTCCACATCCCGTTGCCCATCGACGGTGGCGACTGACAGAATTATAATCAATTAGCGTAGCGGACGGCGTGAGCGCATAAAATTATATGCGAGCGGAGCTGAAGGTGCTGATGGTGCTGGGGCTGTGGCCGCCGCGCAATTTGGTTTAAATTAAAATAAATTCAATTACGAAAACATGAAAATCCATTACGCAAATTATTGTCATTAAAAGCGCAATTTTCGTGCCGCATTTATGAAAATTTTTGATTAAATTTCTGACGCCAGCTGCAATGGAAACGAAGAAAACAACAAAAGACTTAGGCAACGAACGTGCTATTGCATGTACTCACACTCACACATACCTTCTCTCTCTCTCTCTCTCTCTCTCTCTCTCTCTCTCTCTCTCGTTGTCTCCCTCTCTTCTTTCCGCTCATCCGAGTAGCTAATTAATTAATTATAAGCCAAGCGATTAGCATAGGCTCCCCTCTTGAACGGAGAGAAAAAAGAGTAAAGATTGACCAAAGCCAGTCGAGCAGCTGCCTCCGCTTTCATCGTCTGTCCGTCTGGCTGCCTCTGGGATTAGCTCGATGATTACGTCGCATCACATACGACACACACGAAAAACAAAAACCGCTTTCATTCATAGATAGACGCCTCGGCTCACAACGGACAAACGGGTTATAAATGTTAAACGATTTAATAGATAAGATATAGCTAGTATATATAGGCATATCAGTATGTATGTAAGCGCACGTGTGTATGTGTGATTTTTCTGTTTCGCCGCTGGGAACACGCTGCCGAGTGTCGCACTTAATTTGTTTAATTTCCTTGACGCTCGCAACTCTCATATCACAGCTTCATACACTGTGCAACAAGTTTGCTTGAAGAAATATCGATCCAAGCAGTTGGCAATCTTTATATTACATTTATATATCTATATATGCGATATATGATTTCTAATATTTAATTTACAGTTATTTGTAATGTTTATTATATTATTATTTTTTTTTTCGGCTTAAATTAAATGTCGATCTTAATTCAATATTGTTTGCAAATTATATTGCTTTTAAAATTTTTTCTCAGCTGTTATACTTATATATCTTATACTTTATATTTATATGTATGATAT